CCCGTCGGTGCGGTAAAGGCGAAGCATCGGCGCTGCCCGAGATGCCGTGTTGCACATGCTGCGGGTTCGGGGGTTTTCTTCCTTCTTTCTTCTTTAAGCCTTTCTCTTTTCGACCTCGCTGTTTTTAATTCAATCTAGGGAAGGAAAGGACTGGCAGAGGGTAAGAAGTGCCTTTCAAAAGAAATTAATGAAACCCGGGGAAGTTGCGAAACTGGATACCACGATCAACGAGGTACTGCTGCGCTTTGAGACGTTCTTCCTCTCTCTCCCCTGGAAACCTGGGAAATAAAAGCAGATCAAGTGATCCGGTTTACCTGGATAGCTGTTGATCTGCTCTACAGTGGTAAAACCATGAGTTCATGCTCTAAAACCATTCGGGGAGTAGTAAGTACAAACTGATTATCGGGTCTGACCAAAAGTGAGACCACATAGAAACCTACAATTGAGATTGGCTGTCTCCACAAAACAATATAAGATGATTCCACAATGATATGGGCTCCTGCAAACAGCATTTTTCCTTACTTTTCTTGCATTCAGTGGTTTTTTTGCCTTTACTTCATCACTCATGTTCCTCCCATCAGGGAACACCTCCCTCTTTAACCTCTGTGTTCCTCATTGAGTTTGAGAAGCATCTGTGACAAACAGTTTAATCCTCTTTATTGTGAAACTCCAGCATTATCCCAGTGTCAGACTGAAGCATTTCATCCCTGTGGAGGGGATGTTTGTCCAAGTACAACCAGAGATAACATGGGAGTCATGTAAAATCCAAACTTTTGTTAACACAGGGGGAAACTGAATCTTGTTCAAAGAACAGGAAACATAAGTATCCCTCTCTCCTGTGAGATTGTTATCTATTTAAAAGACAGTTGAAATGCTAAATTACACAGGATTTTTATTAGTTGATGTCATTTTATTCCTTTCTTTTCTCTCTCTTCTCTCCACCACTTAGGTCCTGGAGGACTTCATGCACAGAATAGATGACGTTTGCAACCACAACGGGCAAATAGAAGATGTCTGTTCAGAATTCAACAAATGGTCATTTGAAAGTAAGTAGGTTTTTTGCCTGAGAGCGGTATACATTTTGTACCTGCCGTGACATTTCAGTTCAAGAACAATCAGTGATGACAGCGTAGGCTGATTATTTCCAAACTATATCAGCTACCTGTGTACCCAGTTCCCGAAAATGTTTTAAATGTTGGGCTTCTTCCACTGTCATTGGTGACGGCTGCTTTTGGAAAGGGAGAAATAGGAAGTGACAGCTTTGGGGGGGAAAAAAAAAAAGGAAAAAAAAAAAGAGCAAGTGGAAAGAGGTGGCAGCTGGTGGAGTGTGGGATGGTGCCAGTGTTTGCAAGTGGTTTCTGGCTGTGGAAAGGGCTAGGAGATGCTGGACTAGATGGCCTCTTCAGGTCCTGTTTTCCTGCGACTCAGTTCTCAGTCTCTTTGCCGAATAGCTTACTTGCCAAATACACCAGCCCTGCTTGGCAGAACGGTCTGCTGCTCGTGTGAGAGGATTGATCGTGGGTGATTCTTCTTTGTGAAGAACGTGCTACTGTAAGGGCACCTTAGCTGGGTATGCTGCTACTTGGGTCTGAGGCAAACGTGCAGAGGGTGTTTTGAAGCACTGCTCTCACAGGTGTGCATCACAGAACAGAGACCATTTTTCAGAAGGATAATCCGAGCCATTCCTTGAGAATACATGGTGGATACCACACACCCTTTTGTTTATATCATTTAATGATAATATTGCTTAACAACAGGTATCTGCCTGGTGCTGTATGGAAAGAGGTTTGGTCTCCTACAGCAGGATGTAGAAGAAGAAAGTTTGAACTTCATCAAGGCTGTAAAAACGGTATGGAAGAGGCTTTATTGGGGCTGTAGTGATTTTTCTACCCCTACTGCTTCTGAGAGGGTACCAGCTTAAATGGGTCACCTGAGAAAAGCAGCTCAAGCTTTTGTGCTACCTGTGTGTTGGCAGCCTTGCACATCCAAGGCGACACTCACACGTGCAATGCTAGTACTGACCACCTGACTGTCCCATTTATGAAATGCCTATATCTGTAGGGGAAAAATGCTGTATGGACATCAGGGTGATCCTGGAAATAGAGTTGTCAGGTTGGTTGGTTAACTTTCCTCTCCCTCTGAGACACCTGTTGTGCAACACCGCTGTTAGCTGGGTGGGACTCTTGGAGTTGTGTGGGATTATGCAAATACGCTGGATTTGGAGGTTAGTCATTCCTGCAAGCACACCTGCTGTGCATCTTGCTGCAACTTGGGACTCCAGTGATATGTATCTGCCTAATTTTAGCCATCTAAAAGATAGGCATCTAAGCCTAGCCTAGTTTTTTCGCTCCATCTGTTCTCAAGGGAGAGAGAGGCACTGCCAAAGGGTGGCTTGTCGCATTCTAAAGCAGGTGCCTAAAATAGATAGGATGAATCACCCACTAGAGAAGCCTCCTATCCTCCACTGGCTGTCCCTAATTTTTAGCTGGATACAGTCTAATTAGGTTGAGACCCATCCTTTCTGTCCAGGGTGGAAAATCTGCCAGAATCCTGACTTCCTGAAAGTTGCCTCCTACTTTACAGTCTAATTTAGTTCACGGATTGCAAGTAGGTAGATTAGAGAAAGATTTCAAAAACTCTTTCTCCACCACAGATGATGGCTACTTTTGGAATGATGATGGTGACCCCCGTGGAACTTCACAAGGGTCTGAACACAAAAGTCTGGCAAGCTCATACTAAAGCATGGGATGATATATTTAAAACAGGTTATTTTTTTTTAACACAATTTCTCTCCTTTCTCTTCTGCTCTGTTTCCTACTTGGTGGAACTGACTTTCTTCAAACTTGCTACTGCTCTACGCTGCAGTTAATTGCTACCTTCAGCACAGATTGAGACACCTTTGCTGCAGCTAACCACAAGCACAGGAGCACTGTTTTCTTATGACTAATGCTTCTCTCTGGTTGTGGGGCAATGCCCAATCCCCAGGGAAGCCCCAGAAATTTGGGAGCCAGCAATGTCATGAGTCCACTTTAATCTGTCCGTAAAAGTAAATAGCCAGAACGTGTATAATCTCTTTAAAGGCAAGTGAGGTACACGAGTGAGGAAAGGGACCTCCCTCAAAGGGATCTCAAAGAAGGGAGTTGTTTTCTTGAGGAACAAGAATTTTAGGTGTAACAAAAGCCTGTTTGCTAAAAAAAAAAAAAAAAAAAAAAAAGAATAGGTTTTATGAACAGCCTGGAATATAGTTGTAAGTTTTAAAAACAGAAGCAATTTAAATCATAAGGCACAGTTTCGCTTTTTGACAACATTTTCTATTTAAGATGAATTGGCTTTCAAGGTTACAAAAATTGCTCGAACTCCAGATTAAGTTAAGTTTATATTTTTCAATATTTTGCTAGACAGTGACAGTTATAGCTAAAGATTAAGAAAGGTTTTGGCATTTAAGAAAGGTTTGGATGATTGTAACGCCAGGTATTTGAGTACTTGATGAATACAGGAGTTTTGGTCATGCCAGCCACACATGTACTTATTTTATTTCTTCTTACTTTGGGGGGGTTTAGGAAAGACACTTTAAACCAGTTTTATTCAGAAAAAAAAATTTAACACCCTCGCTTGACATTAATAGCTCCTTACTAGGAACTGGTCTTAGCAATTGGGATATTCATTAGAAAGGGTAGGCAAAATCTAGTTCTCTATATTAAAAAAAAAAAAAAAAGCATATAGAAATTTGGCATCTATTTTTGCCTTCCCCTAGTAAATCAAAGGCTTAAATTTCCCCTCAGGGAGTCTGAGTGCCAAGTCTCTTTGATTTTTTAACACCTTGATCCCCTTTGAAAATCCAAGCTGATAAATTTTACACATTTGTATTTGTGTTTGCTAAATATTTCACTCAACACATCACTGATTTCCTTTCCTAATTTAAGAAAGCAGAATTCCTAATAGTTTGCAGGAGATTCCTCTGTTCAGAAGTGATTTTTGTGACTGTTTTTTGTCTAAAAAAGTGAAAATACTATTACTTATTCAGTATAATGCTCATTGCTCAAAAAAAGAGCACAGCTTGGTATCTTCTTTCAAAATCCTGCATATGAGACATATTTTTGCTTTTATTTTTATAGTATTTTTAGTGATTTTCCATTAATTACCTCCTGCTCCTCCCTCCTCAGCCAAGCACTCAATTGACTGTCGACTGGAAAAACACTCTGCAAACCCTCGGGAGGATTTCCTGTGTGACATCTATTCTGGAGGACAGCTTTCCAAGAAGGAGCTGTACGCTGCCATCGCAGAGCTCCAGATCGCCGGAGTTGAAACGGTAAGGCTGACTTTCCAGGAGCTTGTTAAAACGAGCATCCTTCCAACTCCCTGCTTTCCTCCTACATCTGAGTGAGCTAATCCTGTAGGTGCGTCGGTGGCCTAAATGCAAGTGAATTTTTACCTGAAATCACTGGATTCTCCTTCTGTTCCTTACTCCTAGAGAACAACTGGCATGGCTCATAATCCCTTGGGTTTAGAAAACACCCTAAGGTGGTGGCCAGCTGTAAATGTTGCTTCAAACCTTTGGCAACTTCTGGTTTCTGTCACCACAAACCAAGGTCTTACGTTTCTTTTTGGTTTGTTTCAGACGGCCAATAGTTTACTGTGGGCTTTGTATAACATTTCACGCAATCCACATGTTCAGCAGAAGCTTTTCCAGGAAATACAGAGTGTTTTGGCTGCTAATGAGAGTCCAAGTGCTGAGAGCTTGAAGAATATGCCTTACCTAAAAGCATGCCTGAAAGAATCCATGAGGTAAAACTCTCAAATAATTTGCAGAAAGCAAAAGGATCACAAAGGTTTTTACCAGCTAGTGTGCACTAGGGAGACAGAATTTTCTAGTATATATAATTTTGTTCACCTTGCTGTTTAAGGTAAACTATGATAGCTACAGGAAGAAAAAATGCTGGAAATGTGACCCATTTTGTTTCTTTCACTGCAGATTAACACCCTCGGTGCCATTTACCACTCGCACCATCGACACAGAAATGGTTCTGGGAGATTATGTACTGCCCAAAGGGGTAAGTCAATTAATTTAGCTTATTAGAATATTTTGTCGTGGATTACCTGTCCTGTGAACGGCTGACGTTGGTCATAGTTCAGCCTCAAAATGACTTTGCCAAAGGACGAGTCCCAGGACAAGGAATGAGGAATTCTCACTAAGAATCCCCAGGAACTGCAAACCATACCTGCCCGCACTGCTGTTGGATTTAGGCAAACAGATTTCGGTGTGGTATTTCAAAAAAATTTTTTTCAAACTTTCCCATGATTTTCTGAGGAAGCGATGACCTTTTCTGTGTCTGAATTAATCTTCAGAGAATTACAGGACATCTTCTGAGGAAACCTCTATATTTTAGCTGTTGCATTATTTTTTTGCATTATTTTTTTCCATTAACAAGCTGATTCACTTGTTAGCTCTAAGCCAATCTGTAACGAGACTCTATTGCTTTGTTTATAGACCGTGCTAATGATAAATAGCCATGCCCTGGGTTGCAACGAAGAGTATTTTAATGGCTGGACTCAGTTTAAACCAGAGCGCTGGTTTCAGAAGAACTTAATAAATCCTTTTTCACACGTCCCCTTTGGCATTGGGAAGAGGATGTGCATCGGGCGCCGCGTAGCAGAGCTCCAGCTCCACTTGGCCCTTTGCTGGGTAAATACTGTGAAATGGCGTCTTTACACAACGCCTGGTTGTTCAACATTTCAGCCAGTCAGGAGGTCTCGAAGCCAAAGCACGCTAACTGAAATGTTTGTGTTTCAGCTCGTTCGCAGGTACCGAATTGTAGCGACTGACCACAAACCTGTGGAAACGCTCCATTCGGGAATACTGATTCCCAGCCGGGAGCTTCCCATTGCATTTCACAGACGATGAGGTATGTGCAGGAGGGTCTCCTGAGTGCACGAGCCTTTTCTTTGAACCTCATTCAGAACGTTCATAGAGCTGTGAGTGTAAGAGAACAGATGTTTTCCTAAGCTTTATTCTCACAATGTGAGATTTATGAAATGCCATCACGTTTTGCTACTTTTCACAGAAAATATTCAATGTGCTAAGAGGATAAATTTTGTACAGCTCTGAAGTTAGCTGTCTGGTTTTAAACTCCACGAGAACATGTCTTCTGTGCATGATGCAGATCAGAAATGGGGAAATCAAAATTTATGTACTGTTGGAGAAAATAATAGCCATTATTTTGTTATAATATAAATTCTCCACTGCATTTCTAGAAGATATTTCCTCGAAAATAGCATTTGATTTTGAGCATCAATGTACAGATTAAAAAGAAAATGCCTTAGCGATGGAACAGTACACCAGTCCACTACAGAGTTTAGATAAAAAAGCTTCATTTTAGGCAGAAGGACAAGGAAAGAAATATCTGTTTGTAAACAGTCATGCAATGTTGCAACTTGTTAAAAGCTTTTGGTTCAAAAAAATTGAATGTAAGATTTTCTCTGCTCACAGGCTTGTACAAAAAAGCTAACAAAAAAGCTTATTTGTATAAAAATTAAATTGGAAAACTGGTTCTTTGATCTAGAATTAAGTCCTCAGATTAGAAATCAAGTGACATTTAAATACTGAGGGAGATTTTTTTGGCTGGCCAGCACCACAGGAAAAAAATCACCCAGTATAATCTGAGTAAGGGTACTAACTCCTTTAACTGAAATTTGCTCGGTGCTATTTGCTTTTAAAGAATCATTCACTATATAGATTCTTTTTCTTTTTCCTACAGCTTGCAGAAAATAAATGACAACCCTGCTGCTGCCTTCTCTGACACATCGGCTGGGAAAGTCAAAGCCTACGGTAACCAGTGGAACGATTGCTGAACCAGACCTAGTACCAAGAAAAGCTCCCGTACTGTTTTATTAGAAAAAGTGTGGTTAGTTAGTTCAGCTCTACTTGGCAATGTTAAAAGGAAAGAAAAATGCCGCGCACGTTCATATACCTACGCAAACACACCGGGTTAGTGCAGCTGGGACTGTACAGGATAGAGCTTGATAACGAGCTGTGGAGTGTTAGGGATAGTTCTTGTTAGTGCGCAGTGAAATTACTACTTAGCTTGCAAAGAGCGGGGTTCTGGTTCGTGGGTATCATGTAGCACACCTGGGGCAACGAGAGTCAGGACTGCGCTGGCCCTGGTAGCCCCGAGTTGGAGAGTTTGGGAAGTCAGCTTAAGGGAAAAGAAACTCGCTCAGTCCTTACCAAATTACCAGCGTCGTGAATTAAACTGAGAAGGTAGATGGCAGTCTGTAATAAGGGCTTAAAAAATAGGATCATTAAAGAAGTATACTTTCCCTAGCGCTACTCACTTCCTTACCAAAGGGAAACAAGGACAAAGGTATATAACAGGATTTGTTCCTCATGCCTGCCCAGTACTTTGGTTTGAACAGTTGCCACGCTGTGCCTGCCACATCCTCTGCGCACCCCGGGAGTTCCAACTCCCTCACAAGCCATTTTATCACACCTTTATTGTAAAACCTTAGTGGTCTTTTGTTGCATGAAAGGCCTTATCCAGGAATGGAATCACTGGAATCCTATGGGTTCTGCCACTACTAAATGATGATTATCCTAACAGGATAGTTACTTCATCAGATGAGTAATATAAAATGTACGTTTCAAAGAACCGCAGGAAATGAGGATCCTAAACATTTCAGAGAGATCTGTTTCTTGTGGAGACTTCAATACCTATATGTGAAGGTTAAAGCTGTCACTGCCCTACATTAACGCTGTACGTTAGCTATTACGGTCACTAGTGTATTTTTTCCCCTGATGCAGTTTCAAGTACAGGTTTATATATATAACCATAAATGGCTGGGTTTATTTTTTTACATTCTGAGATGATACAAGTTCTTAGCATTTGTTGGTCTGCCTCCTGAAGGTGTTTTGTTTGCTTTCCTCTGCTGTTATACTCAGACGTGTAAATGTAGTCATATTACAATGTGTGAAACAATTTGTGCATTATCGGAACCTTTCTAGTCAATTTGGTAATAGTCAATGTTGTAATAAAATAAAGATTTCTATTCTTTTTTCTATAAATAGTCTTCCACAGTTTATTATAAATTCTTTGTAGCATTACAAAAATCTCGTCTTTCGTGGTAACTTCCTGCAAAAAAGTTGCAGTGGTACTTTGTACTTTCATCCCTTTGCTTAATATCCTCATTGGGCTTGAACTTGAAATTCTACAAAACCAAGTTACTTCAATTCAACACTGAGAAACTTCTGCGTTGTGATACCCCAAAGTCGCTTGATTGTGTGCTACGACACCCTCGCTGGGAAAGTGGGTATGTACAGCGGGCGCTGCCTGGCACCCGCTGCCTGGCACCCGCTGCCTGGCACCCATCCTGGGCACTGCCTGGCACCCACCAGCCCTGGGCAGGGGGATCCCAGGTGAGCGAGGACAGGGGAGTTAAGCCCTGCAGCTCAGATCTTTGATGCCAAACTCCTTCTGTGCCATTAATCTTGGCGTTCCGTCAATCCAGGCTAGCCCTAGTATTCCGGAAGGTGTTAAACCCATGCCTACAGCCCCCCTCCCTCTGCACCATCCTGTCAGACCTCGGCGAACGCTGATGGTAGGAGGCTTTCTGCAGCCACAGCACAGGCTGAATGTGTTTCTCCCCTGCGTGCACAGTACTGAGGTCTCCACGGATGGGATTGTTACTTTCCTCTGCCATTACGACAAGATAAAATCAATATAAAGTTTTGAGGAAGGATAAAAATAGTTTGAACCTTTGCAGGATCAAAGGAAATGATGTATATATATATAAAAAAAGCCATCCACCAGCACTGCGAGTGACAGCCTGATGGTTACGCAAAGAGCAAACCTGACAGTTATCAGAACCGTGCTGGCTTTGCCAAGCCAAGCTTGCCTCCGGCTGAGTGAATGATGGTGTAAGAAAAAATCGTACAGCGCTGTGTAAGAATGTCGCTTTTCTGAAAATCACACTCGCGGTGCAGTTGGGAGTGACTGCAGCTTGTGCTGCTGAGACCAATCCGACAACTGGGAGCGCGGGGGCCGGAGCCCGGGAGGGTGGGCTGGGACACCGCGGGTGCTCCCCCCCAGCCCCGGGCAGCTCCGGCAGCTTGTGCTACGGTGCAAGACTGTGTGGGGAGACCGACCCAAGCTACTACAGCAATAATACACGCTAAGTGTCTTCTTAGAGTATTATCAACTAATAGGAGTCCGTTGGAGCCAGTGGAGTTGTGCCAATATGAAACAAGTGTGAACAGAAAGGCAGGTCTGCCGTTCATTCCAGGTGTATCACACTGCTCACAAATGTCCCGACGATTTAACTTTTGAAGACAGCCAAAGAGAAGAGGTGCTATTTAGTTGACCTGACCTTGACAGCCTCGTTATCAGCTATTTCGAAATCCTTTATTGCTTCTGTATAGTAACCCACAGGTTCCTCCTTACTGCACTGCTTATTATTTTTGCTACTTAAATTTAGTGGACTCAAAGAGCTATACAAGTATTGCTCTGAGTAAGGTTTAGACCAAGTCTACCCAAGCTGAGGTACAAACGTGTGCCGTCTTCTGGGTTTCTAAAAGTACAATAACCACTGACCTGGAAAATTTTGTTCCGGAAGCTTTGTAGATTTTCAGGTTCCCAAAGTTTTCAAAGAACTTCATTAATCTGCTACCTCAAAGTAAATGTCCAAAGCAATTTACCTAGGAAATAGGTAATTATCAAACTACACAGATAATGAATGACCAAGCCAGACTTTCACATTAAGAAACCCGCATGGCTTTCTTTTTCTCATATTTCAGAAGTGTGAAAACCAGCATGATGCTTCTGAGATTAATAAATGTCTATGAAACCTTTCACCTATGGTCAGCTGGATAAATTCAGTTCAGTTCTTTGCTGCTTTGAAATGATTTGCTCATTCAGAATTACATATTAAAATGACAATGACAACACTACTTCCCTACTATCGTTTCCTACAGTTACTCCTCAGGGGAAGATAGTTGGATCGTAAAAGGAATGGAATTAATTGGCCTCCACATTAACTTTCTCAACAAGGAAGTGAACGAGGTTTACCTGTCCAAAAGGAAACGAATTCTGTTCAGGCTTTAGGCATGTTAGTGGGAATGATATAGATAAAGTTGGAGCCAACCAATCTGTGCTTTTTTTATGAATAAAGAACGCCAGTTGTCAGGACTGTCAATCTGGCATTTTTCGTATCTGTTCTGCTCATTATAAGCTGGCTGTTATACAGTATGCTCTGAGCCAGTCCCTGCGTACACCTTTCCTGCTGTGATTAGATGGCAGATGATGTGTTCTAGTCTGTCTTCTTCCATCCTGAGAAGATCTTTGTTCTCGACAGCTAGAGGTGGAATTCATATCTGTGTCAACGCTGACTTTAACTGATGGGGCAAAACAACCCAAGCTCTGAAAAACTAATTCTGCAAAAAGTTCACAGCTGAAGTTCCTTTCAGAGCAAATTTTAGGAGAACAACTCAGCATGTGCTTAATTTTAAATACGTGAAACCTCACATTGACCTCAGTGGGACTGCGCGGGTATGTCCGGGGCTTTTAGTGCGTTACCAGTTTTCAGAAAAGGAGAAAGTTTAGCAGTTTCCAGCATGTCATTTGTGGCACAGACATTCAAAATTCATGTAAGGGTTGTAGTTTCAGAAGGAAAAGCTGCTTTTTTACTTCAGATAATTGAAACAAAGGGCTTATTGAGATTGACGGTACAAGCAGCTTCATTAATCTCTGTCCCTGGATGTGTGTGTTGTTCTGGTAACTTGTGGATTGATATACCGTAGTGTGGGTGGCTGCATTCAAATTTTTTTGATGTGTCCTTCCAGGCATGGCTTGGGAAAAAGTATGAATATTATATTACGAAACTGAGCATTATGCTTATTCACTTACTTTTATTCTTGGGGATTTCTGAGTATCAGCT